GACCACAGGAGGAGAAACACAGAAACACAACAGAGGGAATAAGCACACAAGGCCAGAAGCAAAGAAAACACTTGGTGTTCCCGAAGACAAGATGCATGATATTATCCAAAAAGAACAAAAGGAGGGAATCGGGGAGAGACTGCAAAAGGGAAGGTGCTCGCCTGGCATATGGCTGACCTGGGTTCAATCCTGAGCATATGGTCCCCCAAGCACTGCCAATGGGTCACTCCTAAATACAGAGCCAGAACAGTCTCTAAGCACTGCAGACTGCAACCTCCCTTCCCCGCCAAGTAAAGAAGGAAAAAATAAATAAATAAAAATGAAGAAAACATCAGCCTTCTATGGGTCAGCCTAAAGAGAAATACTGCTCATTAATATACATGCGACAAATGAAGTATCATCACATACATGCAACAAATGAAGTTATTATCAAAATACGTAAAACAACTACTAGCATGACTGAAGGAAAATTGTAACAGCAACACAACAGTAGAAAATTTTAATAACATGTGCTCATCTGGATAGATCAACCAGACAGAGAATCAATAAGGGAACGGTAGACTTAAAGGACAAAATAAAAGAAATGGGCTTAACAGACCTCTAGAGAGTTTTCCATTCCCAAAAAAGCAGAGTATACATTCTTCTCACATATTCATGGATCATTCTCAAAATTAAGAGAATTAAATTACATGAAGTACCCTCTCAGATCATAATGCTTTGAATCTGGAAATAAACCATAAACAGAAAGCTGGGGAAAGCTGTAACACTTAAAGTTGAACAACATACAAATGAACAACTGCTGAGTCAAAGAGGAATCAAAAAAGAAACTAAAATATTCCTGGAAACAAATAAGAATGGAGACAAGAGCTCCCAGAATTTATGAGGAACAGCATTGTATGCGTACAGCACTCCAGGCATTCGTCAGGAAACAAGAATGGGTGAGAATAAATTACCTAAGCTCACACTTCAAGGAACTAGAAAAAAACAAAACAAAATTCAAAATAAGTAGAGGGTGTGAAATAATAAAAATCTGAGTGGAAATCAGTAACATGGAAATAACACAATACCAAAAACAGCAATGAGGGGCTGGAGCAATAGTATAGCATTTGGATGACCCGGGTTCGATCCTCGACATCCCATAGGTTTTCCAACCACTGCCAGTAGTAATTCCTGAGTGCAGAGCCAGGAATAAATCCTGAGCATTGCCAGATGTGATCCAAAAAGCATAAAACAAAATAAAATGAAAAACGGCAATGAAAATAAGAGATATTTTTGAAAGATTCAACAAGACAGACAAGACAACTCCCTATCCCCTTGTGCTAGAACTCACAAAGAGATTAAGAGAAAATCCTGATAAATCAAATCAGAAATGAATGAAGAGAAATCACAACAGAAACCTCAGAAATACAAATGGTCATGTAAGGTGACTATGAAGAACTTGACACCACTATGCTGGAGAACCTAGAAGAAATGGATAAATTTCTTGTATAACCTCCCAAGATTGAGTCAGGAGGAAGTAACTAACTTGATCAGATGTGATGATAAAAAAGCTGATATTCAAAATCACCCCAAGAACAAAAGTTTTCAAACAGATGGTTCATTAATGATAATGAGTTTTTCCAAATCTTCAAAGAGGACTTTCTACCTGTCCTCCAGGTAGTAGAAGTAGAAGCTTATCCATGGAGTAGCAGAAATAGGAATTCTCCCTAACAGTTTCTATGAGGTCAACATTACCCTAATACCAATGACTACAGATATTACTAAAAAGAAATAAATAATTAGACCAGTCTCCTTAATGAACATAAATGCAAATATCTTCAAAAAAATCCTAGGAAACTGAATACAATGTATTAAACACATCATACATCACAAGCAAGCGGTATTCATTCCAGAGATGCAGGGGTAGTTCAACATATGCTGTCAGTAATGGAATAGCACTGTAGCACTGTCCTGAATCGTTGTTCATCAATTTGCTCGAGCGGGCCCAGTAACATTGTGAGACTTGTTACTGTGTTTGGCATATCGAATACGTCACAGGTAGCTTGCCAGGCTTTGCCATGTGGGCAAGACACTCTCGGTAGATTGCCGGGCTCTCCGAGAGGGGCGGAGGAATCAAACCTGGGCTGTGTGCAAGACAAATGCCTTACCTGCTGTGCTATCGCTCCAGTCCAATAATGGGATTACACCAAGAAATAAAAGACGAACTAATATTCATCCCTATTGATGCAGAGAAAGCGTTTGACAAGATCTCAAACTCATTTGTGATGAAATCTCTCAACAAAATGAGGACTGAGAGAATTTCTCAGTAATGTACAGGCCATATAGAACATCATCCTTAATGGGCAGGAAACATCACCCTTAGTGGGGGTAAAATTGTCTTGCATGTGTCTAACCCAGATTCAATTCTCAGCACCCCCTGTAATCTCCCTAATCCTCACCAGGAGTGATCCCTGAGCTCAGAGCCTGTATAAAAATCCCTGAGCACTGCTGAGTGTACAACTTCCTCCCCCAACCAAAACAAATACAAGACCCTCCAAGATCTTAACCCTAATGGCAAAAAAACAAAAGTGTAAGTAAACAAAAGGGACTCCATCAATGTAAAATTCTTTTGCCAATTTGGGGCTTGCTACTCCTGTACCCTGGGCCCCGGGGTGATCTAAGTATCCCCCCCCTTAAAAACACTGCATCCCTCACCTAACTATTCTATACACCACATACGATGGGGACCATCCTGTGTTTGTGTTTCTTCTTCTGGCTTTAATCAACATGAAAACTGAAAGGGGAAGAAGAGATAAGAGGGAAGCAATGGAGGGCAGAGGTCAAGGGAATCTGAGTACTTTGGTGGTGTAACTGGGAGAGATAAATATACAAACCAGAGTCAACAAAACTAAAACCAGGAGATCCAAATTTCAACAACCAAGCTTTAAAAATGTATCTGTCAAGGTGACAGATTCGCAAAGAGAGGGAAGTTGACACTAGTGGTAGAATGAGTGCCGGATTATTGTATATCTAAAACTCAAATGCAAATAACTTTGTAAATCATGATGCTTTAATAAAGTTGAAATTTAAGAAAAATAAAGAAACGGGGCCTGAAAATCAAAAGATACATCATAGGGCTAATGCCCAAAATATATAAGAACTCTCAATGTTTAAAAAAAAAATGGAGGGAAGAGATGAAAATTTCACAAAGATGACATAAAAATTAACCATGAGTCTATGAAAAATATTCATCATCTACTGATTACCAAATTAGCAGAACAATGAGGCACCGCCTCACACCAGCAAGAATGGTGTGAAGGCCATGGTGCTAACAGTTGTACAATTCAAATGTACTTAATGTCACTAAACTCTACACTTAAATATAGTTAAAATGCCCTGCCAAAACCCCAGTAGCCACACCCATGACCCACAGCTGCTGCTATGCCAACGGCCCTACTTCATTGTTTCATGACTAATCTCACAGAGATGACAAATCAACAGAAATTCCAGGTACACTGGTTTCCAGGCTGAAAACTCCAGGGTCTCCTCGGAGTGGGGGTCAACAGTCTCCCCCTCTTCCCCATTCTTCTGGCAACTCCAGCAGCCTTGCCACATCCCACAGTCACTGCTATGTAAACTCGTCAGCCCAGTCCTACAAATTTTGGGGTTCCGGGAGTATGCAATCACATATGTGGCAACATGACACCTCCAAATTCCACAATACTGACATCCCCATATGAGAACACCACAGGAGATGGAAAAGTAACAGAGAAGCCAACTGGGCCCAATAAACAAAAACAGTAACACAGAAAGCTCAAGGAGGGGGCTTGAGCAATTTAACAGCGGGTAGGGCATTTGCCTTGCAGGCACCCAACCTGAGTTCGATCTCCAGCATCCCATATGGTCCCCTGAGCACAGCCATGTGTAATTCCTAAGTGCAGAGCCAGGAGTAATCCCTGTGCATCATTGGGTGTGGCCCAAGAAGAAAAAAAAAAGGTGTTCATTGCTGGAGCGACAGCACAGCAGGTAGGGTGTTTGTCTTGCACACGGCCAACCCGGGTTCGATTCCCAGCATCCCATATGATCCCCCAGCACCACCAGGAGTAATTCCTGAGTGCAGATGCAGGAGTAACCCCTGTGCATCGCCGGGTGTGACCCAAAAAGCAAAATATTGAAAGAAAAAAAAAAAAGAAAAGAAAGCTCAAGGAGAAATGAACAGCTTCATAAACCCTCAGACATGCACTTAATCACCCCCATGGTGGGAGATAACAAGTTTCACAAAATTTCTTATACTGAAGTATTTTTTGGTAAGTCTCTTAGCCATATAATTGTAACAATCAATATAAAATAAATTATTTTGTGCCTGTTAAGGGGAAAGGGTTGGGGGACGGCTGGAAGGAAGATCACACTGGTGATGGGACTGGAATTGAAACACTGAATGTCCTAACAACTGTTTCATGAAAACTTTGTAAGCCATGATGTTTAAATGAATGTTTATGAAAGGGAAAAAAAGTAGTTAAAACAGTAAATCTCATGATAATTTTACCATTCTTTTAAGAAATGACTGATTGGATGATTAGGTATTAAGTCACCTCATGCCCTCCATTGGGCTGGAGCAATAGCACAGCAGTAGAGCGTTTGCCTTGCGTGCAGCCAGCCCGGCCAAGCTGGGTTCGATTCCTCCGCCCCTCTCGAAGAGCCCAGCAAGCTGCCGAGAGTATCTCACCCGCATGGCAAAGCCTGGCAAGCTCCCCAGGATGTATTCAATATGCCAAACACAGTAACAAGTCTCACAATGGAGACATTACTGGGCCCGCTTGAGCAAATTGATGAATGACGGGAGGACTGTGACAGTGACAGTGATGTCCTCCATTTAATGGAGCACAGTGAATCTATTCCGTATCAACTCAGGATGATCCATAAAATCTGTTGCTCTCGTTGTTTAAAACAAAATGAGATGTGAGTTCTTAAGATACATTCCAAAATCTAAAAAATAAAATTTAAAAAAGCAGAATCCATACCTGATATAAAGCAAGAGAGTGTCCGTATCTCTGGAGAGGTCCCCTTGATAGAGTTCCTACATTCCATATACTGCTTTCTAAATTGTAACTAAAAGCAAGAAAATAATTTCATAAGCTAAAACTCATTTTCAGTTTTTTAATTTGCATATGCCTTTCCTCAAGTATTGTACTCAAGTATTCATTAAATTCAAAAACAATTATAGCTAATAAACTCATAATTTCATGCGGCGTATTAGGGATTTTTAATAAAGACTCATTCAAGATATGCCTACTCTAAATTAGAATTCAATCGTTTAAATGGATAATTCACATTAACATGACTGAGGCTATTTATTACTGGAATTAATTTGTTCAATTGCCTTTAATAATTTCAACCAATAGATTAACCTAAACAACAGCAAACTATTCTGCATTTTACAAAAAGCCGGCTTTTTTCCTTTAGAAACTGATGATATTCTGTCCACTTTCAAATTGCCCATTTGATTTATGATTTCATTTTTATTATCTTATATACACTTAGCTTAGAATCATATAAATTAACCAAAAACATATCTTTTCTATGTACAAATATAGCTTATTTACTGCTCTGAGATGTGAAAGGGAAAAAAATGAACTCAATTAGAAGCTTCTATTAAAAAAAATCAAGTACTACTAGATGACCAGTAGCTCACACACTGTCCTCCCCTGCCTTCACAGATGGTTCAGAGGCTTGTCCAGCCTCACTGGACCCTGGCTGGATGTCCCCACTCCTCACCACCCTCCTCGTGACAGGGTGTCCAGGTCCAAAACGTGGCCCTCTCCACTTCACATATCTCGTCTCTGGATGAGTCTCTCAGAATCTTATCCTAAGGCCGGCCCCGAGGGTTCTCTTCCTCCCAGCCCCAGGATTCAGCGTCTCAACCACTACATAGAGTTTCGTCACTTCACAAGGTAAATTCAAGAACCTGTTCCCAAACATGTCCAAAGCTCCCAGCCCATCTCCAGCAGCCTGTGCCCCTGGCTCCGGCCCCCTCTGCTCCCAAACTGCAGCCTCCTCCTGCAAACGCCAAGCAAGTGACACGGGTCTCCTTGTTGTTTCTCGAACTTTCCAAGGAACTTCAGGGTCTGCCTCTTTTCTCTGACTCCAGGTAACTGCACTGCCAACACCCACACCCTGGCAGTCTTTGAAAGCCCTGGCCTTGCTGTGGAACCTACCCTTGACCGGGACAGGTGTGTCTTCAGGGCCTTCCTCTCTGGCACACTCCACTTCCCCACCGCTGCCGCCTGTCTCTTGCCATCCAGCTAGCTACCGATGTCTACACATGCACATCCATATCATTGGCCAGTCAGTAACTGTTTTTATTAATTCAATGTTTTTGTTGCCTTTCTCACTAACTCCACAGAGACACGGAGACTATGTTCACCGATATATCTATCCCCAGTGCAAGTTTCTTAGGACCATGGGTGAGGTTACTTTTTACAGTCTCTCCTTAAATATATGTTCTGCAAAATGTTCTCTAATTTTGAAGATCCAAACATGCAATGCTTATATTATTGACTGATTATTTATATCTTAAATGGTAACCTACCTCAATTTTTAAAATTTGGGAGGACCTCCCGAACAGTGCTCAGGAAGTCCAAGGGGCCCAGGAGTCTCACTCAGTGATATCTGGCAAACCAGGGGATGGTTCAATACCTGGACTCTGCTAGGGTCCACAAGGGCCACACAGGCCATGTTCAGGGTCTCCAGGCATGTGACACCAAAGACCCAGCCTTGCACATGACCTGAGGCTCTAAGCCACTGTCCCAGCCCTGAGACCTCACTCGGTTTTTTGGGTTTTTCTTTGCCCTTTTTTTTGGGGGGGGGGGGAATTGGGGGTGTCACAGCTGGCAAAGCACAGGGGTTACTCCTGGCTCTGCACTCAGTCATTACTCCTGGTGGTGCTTGGGGAACCATGTGGGATGCTGGGAATCGAACCCATGTTGGCCGCATGCAAGGCAGACACCCTTCCCACTGTGCTATTGCTCCAGCCCCGGAGACCTCATGCAGATTGACAAATCAACTCTGACTTTCAAGAGCTGTGAAACGTCCCTATAGGCATGCTGGGTCACATTCAGACTAAGGAGGAAGAAAACATCTCGAACCTGTGAAGACGGCCACCAAGTACCTTGTGATGCTGCGGGGCTTAGTACAGAGCTGATCAAACACTGGCCACACAGGAGTGGCCCCCAAGCACAGTGGGGTTAAGACACCAGGAAATACAAGGAATCAAGTGCCAGACAAAAATCAAGGTAAGGAGCTGAAAGGCTAGAGCCCCGATGGGACATGCACAGGTGCCCCTAAATCTGACCCCTGGCATTGGAGGGGGGCCTCTCCAGCACCCCAGAGTGAAACCCTGGGGTTCCCAACACCACTTGGGAGACTCAGAACAAAAGCCCAATGGTTTGAATGGGAAAACGCACGTTGAGGAGAACAAGATCCACACATGCACTTACGCTTACAGAGAACACAGGCCTTTGTGATTCCCAAGTGACCCTGACAAGGATATGCTGTCTTCTCAACTCTACTTTGCAAACATCAAAACTGGATCCAAAGCACCACTTTATTTTCACAGGCTTCTCATTTTCATTACCCATAATTAATGTCCTTTTCACTTCCACACTTAAAACCTCTTCACTTTCCACACTCCTTTCAAAACTAAACAATTCGTTTTAATTCCTATCTTTCAATTCTTCTACTCCTTCCTGTCCCCTGTATATTCCTTCACAGAATTCTAATAGTTCGCTTAAAAATTAACCACGACGAATCACGACCATCCTGTTATTCGTCGAATGCCTCGAGCAGGCCGCAGTAACGTCTCCTTCATCCTAGCCCTGAGATTATATTCAAGGCTCTTTAGGAGAATGAGACCCATCACTGTTACTGGTATTTGGCATATTGGGTATGCCACGGGGAGTTTGCCAGACTCTGCCAGTTTGTCCAAAGTAGGAATGAAATAATAAAAATTAACCAGAAACAATTTTTCCCTTCTCTTCAGAATTTATTTTATAATTTCACTGCAGTTTTTACTCAGGTTTAAAGCAAACTCCGCTTTGTCCTGCAAAATTTCTTAAAATGTCCAAATTCAGTGGGCTAAGCTATTCCTTCAGTAGGTAGGCTTGCTATATAAAACATGGAATGCTCAGTTAAATCTGAATTTCAAAAAAAAATGCTGCATATGACCCCCTGCAATATTCATAACAAAACCACAAAGACTTCAAGGTGTCTAGTTTTTCTGAAAAATTATTACTTGTCTTGTGGGTTTTATCTGTGAAATCTGAGAATCCAAATCCCACGTCATGCCAAAGGCAAAACTGACTGGGACCTGCACAATTTTTAACATATTATTAATATCCTCCTGAAAACATTGAGGATCAATTAATTCTTCCTATTTCCTCTTTTACTCTGTAACTGAACAGTTCACGAAATTCAGCAACTGAAACTAGTCGGGAAAAGCTGTCACCCACGTGTGGGGCTCCCTTGTCACAGACTCATCCGGGAAACAATCCCTATTGAGCCAACAGAAAAATGAATGATCTATTTTGCCAAACTGGCAGTGTTCTCCCAACAAAAGCTTGTCAAATAAAGAAGGCGAAGTAAAAGTTCAGGTAAATTAAAATTTACGGAACTGAAAGTGTCTTCACACTAGCAATTACACCTCACGCTGAAGAAATAAAAAACGTGGTAGAATTCATTAATACCCAAAGCAGGTATGGCCTGCCCTCATTTGAAGTTTTTATTTTCTTACTCAGAACTTATTAAAAGCATTCTAAACAGATCAGCAAATTTCTATGCAAAATCAACTTATGTAGAATGCCATATAATTAACTACTGCATTAATCTATCCCCAAATTAGGACACAAAGCAAACAGGCATTATCACAATATAACTATTCATAAAATTGGACGGCAATAAAGCGAGACAGAATAATCTTATTATCAAAGCAAGCCAATTTAAGAACAGGTTATAAGAATCAGGGGGGAGGAGGACGGGAAAGGAAAGAAATACTTACTTCAGGACCATTTGAAAAGAACTGTAGTTAAAGGTATAGCCACCGATCACCCACATAAATTTGCCATGTAAAACCGCTTTATGGGAAGCCCGGCCAACAGAAGGACTAAAGGGCTTAACATTTGGCAGAATCCAGTAAGACTCGGTAGAAGGAACATTCAAAGAACAATCAGGACCTATTTTAAAAAAGAACCAAACAATGCGCCATTACACAAAGACCGTAGGTTACAGAAATAAAATATATGTTGATATGGATGGATGCACAACATATTAATAAATTCAATGTACATAAATGTTTCATCTCTAGCTTACAGGCAGTGGTTTAACAGCAACAGTCAGGTTTACAAGAAAATAAAAATATACACTCATTCAGATTTGGATCTGTTCGGGAAGTATCAAATAATATAAAAACTCGAATTTAGTTTAGTATGTTATCAGTGAAACTACTGAAATACAGTGTACTCAAATCCCAGCTCCGGCTCCAGAAGTTGAACCCGAGTAGCTCTATTTAACTCTATGATAGGGGGAAAAAAAAGACTTAATTTACAAAAATGGAAATGACAGTCTATCCTACATGGTATATTTTATATATTCGATCTTTTAAAAGACGGTGGCAATGGGACCGTTTGTAAATTGTAAACTACCAGACAGATACAAAAAAACAAAAGTACACCTGCATTGGCACCTTTCTTAAAAAGCAACTATAGTTAGCATCCGAAGGAAAACTTTATCGTTACTCTCAAAAAATTATGAATGAAATTTAAACATTCTTAACTAGTCCAGGAAAACTTAAGACACCACGGGGTGAAATCACTGCCCCTCGATATTTAGAGTGGGGCTCAGGAGTCTTGGTTTGCTCTGACATTAAAGATAGGAGAATAGCTTAGAACAGTGTTCTTAAACTTTAAATAATGGAAGGAATATTTCTAACAGAAAAATTTTTTCATCTAACGAAAGGATTCCCAAATTATGTTTATTCTAGTGGAATTAAAATATATTCAAATACAAACGAGATACAAATCCCCTATGTTTAAAGTTTTATAAAATTGAGGCTGTCTGGGGCCAGAGCGATAGTTCAGTGGGGAGGGCGCTTGCCTAGCATGAGGCCGACTCGGGTTCAATCCCGGCATTCCATATCCTCCCCTGAGCATAGCCAGGAGTAAACCCCGAGCATTGCTGGGTGTGACCCAAAAAGCAAAAAAAGAAAAAAAAGTCTAGTGAGCTTTTTAAAATTGAGTGATGATATAGTGAGAAGAGCATTTTAGCCTTCTATGCAGCTAACCAGGTTCACTCCCCAGGACCCCAGAAGGTTCCCCAAGCCCACCAGGAGTAATCTCTGACTGCAGAGCCAGGATAAGCCCTAAGCAAAACAAATGAGGCAATAAATAAATAAATAAATATGCTTTGTACATATATTAATCAAGTAAATATATATGAGCAAAACTAATAAAGACACTAAAATGAATGTTTTCTTAATATCACGGATGGCACTGTTTTACTCAAATTAAACCGTTAGGCGCAAGTGGACAATAAAACTCCACCATTTTCCTCTCCTCCAACTTGTACAAACTCCTAATTTATATGACACGTCCTATCATATTTTGCCTGTACTTGTTAAAAAAGCATCAGTAAACCTGAATCACAACCAAAGCAAACCTTGACATAGCAATAAGGCGACTTTTTCTATGCTATGATGAGAGTTTAATCAGCTTGCTTATATCAAACCATATCATTGAGTCATTGCCCTTTATTTTAAAAAACATTGCCCTACTCTGGTTTTCCATTTATTGTCCACTCTTCCATGCCCGCCTTCATCTATCTTCGAAGTTCTTCACAAGCCTTAGTTAGATTCGATAAATCTGCATTTTCCAGGCATAGACTAGTACCGAACTTTCTTCAGTTTTTTACACTGAGGTAAAAGTAGTTTACAAAAGAGTGTTTATAAGTTTGGGGTTCTTTTTGGGGGGTGGGCGGAGGATGCACTGTGGTTTATAAACAGTTACTAATAGGATTTCCTACTTGAACTATCCCGGCCACACACACCACATACTCCCCTGTGACCGCTTCTCTCCACCACCATCCCGGGGCCCCTCACCCATCCCCACCCTCCGTGGTAAGCTTCTACTAAAAACAAATTCTCTGTTTCTGTTATTCCCCTATTCTGGCTCTTCTATTCCACAGGTGAGAGAGATCATTCTGTGCGTGTTCCTCTCCTTCTGACTAACTTTACTCAGCATGGTCGTCTCCAGACCCATCCACAGGGCGGCAACTTTTATGATTTCACTGATTTCTTCCAGTCAAGTGGTAGTTCACTGTGCCTATACCACAGTTTCTTTATCCAGTCATCTGGTCCTGCACATTTGGTGATGTCCAGATCTGGGCTATTGTGAATAGTGCTACATAAGCATAGCAGCGCAGATGTCTTTTCTAAATTGAGTTTTTGGACCCTTGCGGTAGATGCCCAGAAGCAGAACTACTCAGTCAGACAGATGCTCAATTCCCAAGTCTTTTAAGAGTATCCATAGTGTTTTCCAAACTGGTCTTTATAAATTGTAATGGTACTATGTTACCACACACTCACTACCAAAGTGCCAATATCCCTTCCCATCACTTACCTCCTCGATAATGGTAAGATTCTTTTAAACAGAGAAAACTTTATCCTTTGTGAGTAAGAAAATGGCAAGTATTTATTTACTGGTAATTAGAAAACAAAAAAGACCATACTGCTCCAAGGAAAATTTAACTTGAATTCTAAATCATTTTACTCAGAGTGGTAAAATCCAAGTGAAAAGAGTCCATTCTTTTAAAGTACTGTCTGCAGTTCCTTTGGCAAGGGACGAGTAGTTAAACAGAGCCCAGGGGGACTGCAAAGCCAAAAATATTAGCTGCAATACAGACCTTTAGAGAGAAGCTTGAGAACCTCTAACTGAAGAAAATCAAGATAATATACATCAAGATGTATATTACATAAAAATAACATAGCCACGGGCATAACTTTTGTATGCAATTTTCTTAATAAAGGAAATAAAGATTTATTTTAAATCATTTAAATCAGAAATAATATGAAATAGTATAAAACATCAACCATAAGTGAATCTGGGTAAAGAGTATTTTCATATTCTTTGTACCGTTATTCCTGCAACTTTTTAAAAAATAAATTTGAAAACCTTCCTAGTTAAAAAGTTTACTACCTAAAAATTCTGAGTTCCAAGTAATCATTTGGTATCATCTGGCAAAGAATTTTGACCAAGAATAACAGCAGGTAAAACTCTTAAGAGCCAGGGCTGTATTTAAATCCATAATATAGATATAAATTCTAAACCTGGAGCAAAATATTTCAGAGCAAGTTTTTGAGAGACTGAATATAGGTGTCCCCAAGGTGTCAGCGAGCGGAACATAGCTGAGCGTCATCTGGCAAAAAAGGATTTTGCAGATGTGATTGGAGTAAGAATCTGGCATTGTCGGGAAGTTTCACCTGGTTGCTAGGTATAATCACAGCGTCTTTCTAAGAGGAGATCTGACTACAAACGGGGAGAACAGTTTGACCACAGAAGCAAAAAAGTTGGGCTGCCGGCTACATAGCAGACAAAGTCCAGGCAACTAAAAGCCTTAAAACTGCAGATGCTCGCCTGCAGCCTCCAGAGGGCGCTGGTTTCCGCAAGACCATTTTCCGGCTCTGACCAGCTGTGGCACTCGGTTACAGCAACTATTGGAAACGAATGGTAATAATTAGACTGACCAATTTGATTAAACTAAAAAGACCTTTAACAAAAAAAATGTAGGATGTAAGAAATTAATTTACTCTTCAAAATATCAGGTTTTGGGCTGGAGAGAAAGGACAGCGGGTAGGGCATTTGCCTTGCACGCAGCCGACCCGGGTTCAATTCCCAGCACCCCATATGGTCCCCTGAGCACTGCCAGGAGAAACTCCTGAGTGCAGAGCCAGGAGTAACCCCTGTGCATCGCCAGGTGTGACCCAAAAAGAAAAAAAATCAGGTTTTGGAGAAGTGAACAGTAAACAGGCATCAGAGCTTCAGTTATACGTACTGTATTCAGTATTCAGTACGTATAGGCCAGAGCAGTACAGAGCTTCAGTATTTGTACCCAGTGATACGAGTGAGGGCTACGGCCATATACCCAAACCACAGATCCAACAGAACTGAAAACAGGAAATCTAAGCGGCATCCACTGGGACTGCGTAATGAGCCTGTCAAGTTGATGGGGCAGGGATTGAGTGAGGGCTGGGATGGGAGGGAACCTGGGAACACTGATGGAGGGAAGTTGACAATGGTGGAGGGACTGGTGTGGAATTACCATATGCCTAAAACACAACTATCACTAACTTTGTAAACTTTAATAAAAATTGTTTAAAAATAAAACCCTGAAAAATAAAAAATAAGTAAATAAATAAAACATCTTGTTTTAGAACTCGGGATAGTACAGTGAGTAGGATGCCTCCCTTGCACACAACCTACCAGGGTTCAATCCCCGGCACCTTATGGTCCCCCAACCACCTCCAGGGGTGAACCCCGAGTTCACAGCCAGGAGTGATCCCTGATCACTGCTGAGTATGACCCAAACAACAAAATATAAAATGAAGTATTTTGTTTTCTGCACAAAACCAGCACTAAAGAGGCTGGAACAATAGCACGGTGGGTAGGACGTTTGCCTTGCACGTGGCCGACCCAGGTTCGATTCCCAGCATCCCATATGATCCCCTGAGCATTGCCAGAGGTAATTCCTGAGTGCAGAGCCAGGAGTAACTCCTGTACATCGTTGGGTGTGACCCAAAAAGAAAAAAAAAACTATCTCATCATGACTATATTTTATGTGAATTCTCACATCGGTGGGAATGACCTTAAAATAAACTCTACAGATTGCCATTCTTTTATACTAAATTAACAAACTTATAAACCAAATGACATATATAAATTATTAAAAAGCATAACTTCAATGTTTAAAGAATACCAAAAGTCTTTTCGGCAGTGAGGGAGGAGCGGGGCCCACACACAGCCATGCTGGGGGCTATTTCTGGCTGTGTTCAGCAGGGACCCCTACCTGGCATTGCTCTGGTGACCATATGTGGTGCCGGGGATTGAACCCCGGTCGGTCGGCAGGACTCACTCTCCCTCCACCAAGAAAATGAGAAGTTTTGATGTGTAGCTTTCTGTGCTCT